TTTTTTTTTTTTTTTTTTTTTTTTTTTTTTTTTTTTTTTTTGTTTTTTCTATACTCTTTGAAGTTAACGTCCGCGTGCTACGTAGAAATCCTTTTACGATAAAATCAGAGTTCAATGGTCTTCGAGATAAGCGTTGATAATATTTGATAAAGTATTAAAATACCGTGGAAACGTATGTTGTATGTATACACGATCGAGAAGTCTGACGGTGACGGTGGCGTTTATGGTTTTCTCTTTTTATCGCGAGCCACGAATCGGGGCAGCAACAGTTGAAAATTCAACAAACGCGTGCGAACAAGCACGCTTACCCATCACTGATCGTGTTGGATGGAAGTTATCGTTGAGGATCAGTCGATAGCATTTGCCATGGTAAATGTTATGTACACTTATGAGTTATAAGACTAGTTTGTCATTATACTATACGTGACCGTATGCAAATGAGTTGATTAAAATACAGTTATTCCATGCGCTTCTTGTTCGTATCTGCTATTATTATTCCAAGTTCTTGTTTTTTTTTTTTTTTCCTCGTATCTTTTCATACCTCGGAAATGTTGTAAATCCAGAAAGAAAAAAAAGTCATTTGATTTTACCGCATAGTTTTCCGCATAAAAAATGCTATGCGCATTGTGCAATTGTACATTACAAAGACCACGTTTCCTTGAGTCATTAGTTTTTTTTTTGTCTTCCTAACGTGCAAGATAGAATTAATGTAGAATTAATGCAGATCTTACAACAACGTGATACGATTGCCTTCTTCTTCTTCTTCCTGATTCCTGATTTTAACGAGCACGTTTTCTAATTCTTTGTGTATACGTAACGAAACTATATAATTCAAAGAGAATTATAGAACTGTAGTAGCAGTTGTAACAGCATTTATTTAGCCTAGAACTGTAATAATAATAACGTATATACACGAATCATATGCGATCTACGTTGAATAGAGATTGCGTGTACGGTATCAAAATATGGTATACGTTTTATATCGATTTACTCGTGTAAATTCCTTACATCGTACTCTATTAGCGTGGACCTAATAATCGCAATCGGTTTAAATGCACAATCATCGAAAATTAACGGGGCCATTCGTGGCCATTCGTGTAAGTGGCACACGAACACTTATCAAAGATTACGTCACGTTCATCCCCGTTTATCCGGAGTAATTAATTAATTGAGCTTCATTGGCCGAATGGTGGGGGAGAGGTGGCGCGCAGGAAAGGTCGAGGCCCGCATGAGAAAAATAGTTTTGGACCGTGGCTACGGCTTTTAAGGAAACGATCTTCCCCAATTTCTCAGGATTTTCCATAGGAGAAGATCTAAAAAAGGAAGATCAGAAAGGAAGAGAACGAAGAAGAAGAAGAAGAAGAAGAAGGAGAAGGAGAAGAAGAAGTATTAATCGCTATACCTGCATCGCCCACTCGCGCAGCCGAGAGAAACGCGATACCTTGACGCCAGATTGTCGTACCTTTTTCCACGGAAAAAGGTTTCGTGATTTCAGCTGTTATATCAAGGCTCAGACACGTTCTGGAATTTTTCTTTCTTTTTTTTTTTTTTTTATACCTAGAACGCCCTCGATCATACG